GTATTTCTTGATTTTTTGCGTATGTATTTGTTCACGGTCACATCTCAATCAATGTGCATTAATGATTTATGAATTTAATACAACATAAAAGAGTATCACAAGCACATTGCATTGATGAACTTATTACTTATGATCTGATGGAATGCAGCCAGTAAACCAGGTTACGTGTTACCATTTTCAAAGCCAAATGCTAAAATGTGACTCGTTTCAGAGCATTAATTGAGGCACAAACATATTCAGGATATGTTTTGGTCATCAGTAAGCCATATATGACCGTTTCTAAGTTCCATGGTACACAAGAGTTTTGTGGGAATACCCCGAAGACAGTTCCTTGCCAACTTTGAACAATGAAAGTCAAAATACGGCTTTTAGTTTTACGCATACTGAGGCCTGTTTCTCGATTTGTACTAAGGAGAGAATTCATTGTATAATCTGCGATCATTGCTTACTCTGTATTCAAATCGATTTTATTTCAAAGACACGGGGATATCACGACAATGAATAGATACCAAATTAAGCAAATTATTTCAATGCATATTTTTACTCGAAAATGATCAACACGCGTATCTATATCGATTTCGTCTCGTTCCAATACGGAATTTCTCGAGCAGAATATATCCTGTTTTGCACTTCAAATCATTCAACAACTTATAATATTCATTCATTGCAAAATGACCTATGGTTAGTCACGGATGAACTGTGAATCAAAGCTATATTTCCAATGGTTTTAGTTTCATTTATAAAAAACGAAAACACGTTAATATTTTACCATAAACATGATTATAAAAGTGTAAAAGGGTAGGTGGTCCTATTAAATTTTGGTCCTACTCTCTATCGATTTATATGGTGACCTAATTACAATTATTTTCTTTATTATTTATACACAGTAAAGACCGTAAGGAAAGGGGACCATAATCCCCAGGGGACCATAATTTCTTTTACAACGGCCTTCAATTCGGAAATTAGGCACGTAGTTAACACGCAACTAAAAATCATCCAATAAAACCGGTAATAGATATTCTGAAAAAAGCTATCGACAGATCAGCTTTAAAAACATCGAACTTGTAACTGCATTAAGTCCTGAGGAGCCACTCACCTATTTATAGCCATTGTAAAGCGTGCATTCTCAGTCTGTCAGCCGCTGAGCATATGGATCAGTGATAATTTTGAGCTTAAAGACCGCATATTGCACCTTTGTCACTTAGCAGTTTGCACAACGTCGACGTACAACTTGAGATTTCTTAGTGTCAAAAATCAATGAGTGGCCGACACTAATTCATTTAACAATTGAATGGAAGTGAAATTAACTGAATCTGTGTAATACATACAGCCAAAATAGATATATATCGAAAATGACTTATTTAAGAAAGTATTGTCTGTATAAAAAATTACACAGCAAATAACATTAATATATTTCTCAATTATACAGGGTGTTCCAAAAGTAACAGGACTGGTGCTGGCATTTTGTCAATTCTGCACCGAGTGTGTTCAAATTTTCACAAATTGTACTTTGAAGTAGTGCAACTAAAATTGTAAAGTTTCAGAAAAAATGATAAAATGCGGGTAAAGTTATGGTTACTATAGTAACGTGACATCACAATACCCGGGGCAGCTTTTTCATGAAAATGTTATATCTAACATTTTTACATGACTGAAGCAAGTATCTAATTCGCCTATTACAATACAAAATTTCTTGTTTGTTTTATTAGTTGCTTTATAGTTATGGGGTTGCTATACAACTCAGATTCAAGTAGGATTTCAAAATAATAATATCTATTCAATTTCCTGACAATATCATTATGTATAACAGTCTGCACAATTCACTGTTGAGTTTTTGAAAAGAGCCAATTTGAAGCCAGTCATCCACCTTGATAAGGCATCTGCCTGCAAGTCAGCATTAAAGACCACTGCAGCTATAGCGGAGCTAGGTCTTCAGGTCTAAGACCATGCATCATACTCTTCTGATCATGCAATATCTAATTTTTACTTTTTATGGGGAATGGAATGCTAATCAGAATGGTAAGACCTTTGAAGATGAGAATGACCTTCTCCAAGTTGTCCTATCGACCCTGCGTGACATGTCATCAAATGGGTTCACTCATGTGTTTGAGTCATGGATACTGAGTGCTACTCTTGGACTGACCAAATAGGACCCTACTTTTCAAAGTAGAGGATACATAGGAATATCAAATAATGTATTTAGCAAATGTAATTCCAACCAGTTGTTGGATTCTAACTTTGCTATGGGATGTTCAAAATGCTTAAAATCTCTGTAACTTTCTGCGTGAATTAATGTTGCCCCGGGTATTGTGATGTCATGTTACCATAGCAACCATAACTCTACCCAAGTTTCATAATTTTTGTCGAAACTTTGCAGTCTTAGTAACAATACATGGAAGTATATTATGTAAAATTTTGAAGACGATTGGTGCATATTCGACAAAATGCCAGCACCAGTCCTGTTTCTTTTGGAACACCCTGTATATTCATTTATTCCATTTCATAAATGATTCATAAAATCATTTAAACTCATGACGCTAGCATGCAGACATGGTTTAAATTTTACATGTAGATATTTGTAGTTTATCAACATAACATGGATCATTTTAATTTGCTTAGCTACTCCAACACAACTCTACTACACATCATCCACTGTCTATTTACACGTTCACTGAATCAAATCAGGCAGGCTGGCAGTGTCATCGGGGAAATTTAGAATTATTTGTTCTGCTTTACTACAATTGTATTTGTTATTTTGCTGGGGGTCATCTTTGTCAGAAACACCTCCAACTCCGGAAAATATGATGACCACATGCTCCTCTACTACCATGGGGACTGCAAAGATATATCATAAACATGAAATAATAAGGTAATGTGACAAATGAGGTACTAGGAACATGTGTATACTGAGTACGTGTAATGTGAAATAAGGGCATTTTTGCCTACATGGGAATTTAAAAAGATGAAATGACATAACCTAAATTTATTCAAAAGAAATACATTTCAAATAACATCTCTTGTCAAATTAGCTCATAGGATTTGTGGATTCATCATACCTACCATATTTTCCTTGTTTTAGTAATTCTGTAAATCATACACATCTGAAGAGAAGCTGTTGTGCTGAATTGCCACATTCATTCAGAACTGTGCGAAGGCAGCTTCCTCATAATACTGAGCCAACTAAAGCTTCATAGAACCAGCCACCTAACTAGAAATAAATCAAACAATATAAGGGGCTGGGTCAATACAGTACTTCAAACATGTCAAACTTATTTAATGAAGTCACAGATAGATTTCTCCCTAGATCTGTCTGCTCTCCATTACTGAACATTGAAGTTACATTTCAATCTACTAATAGTAATACATTTGCACCACATTTCCCTTTTCCATGACATGTCGCTTGTTCAATAAATCTGAAAATTTTACAGACTACAGGTAGTCAATTATCCCAATTTCATGACATTCCAAAATTTTGCAAGAAATGCTTCCAATTCTCAACTGGTAATGGGTAAATAGTTCCTGAACCTACCTGTTTCATGGCTTAAATCTTGCCACCAGATCCTTCACATGTTACAGAGACCCACATTAATGGCAGGATAGATTGCACTTGTAGTAGTCTCCAAGAAGATCTGACTGTCATTGATAGAGATTGGTTGGAATATTGGATAGATACATCTGTACATCACCAGCCTGGGTCTCAACTTGGAGTGCAGTGTTGGGAGCAACTATGGAAGTCATCATTGATCTTAGCTATTCTCTACAGGAATACAGATATGGGCGCCGAGGTAGAACCAATCACCAGGGTAAGCCTCACCACCTCAGCTAGAGCCATATGATGGTAGGCAACAGTCTGGAAATACAAGCAATTGTCTTAAGTTAGTGTAGATTAGGATGCAATAAAGTACATGTTATGTTATACATATTACAGTTGTTGACACAAAGCTGTATTTTATCTAAATAACCACTAATCCAGCTTATTTTCAACCCCTCCCCATGTCAATACACAAGTTGTCATGGAGGTGATTTATAAAATGTCATGAGGCCCTGCACATGTAAGTTTCTATTTGAATTGGTTGTGTTGATTTTTCCTAAACGTTTAAATTTTTCTTGATTTTAGGGAAGAATAAGAAGAAAATTAATAAAAATAATATATCAGAATGTACCCTGACCTGCATATTAGCATATTTGTGATTTGAAAATTAACAGTCAGAACTTTGTACCATCATTCATAATTCATGAAACACACCAGGTTTTCTTACCTGTATTTGAACAAACAGTCATTGATGATCAGGGCATGCTTGCCATTATCTCTGAAGTATTCTCACATGTCACAGCCAGAGTAAGGAGCTGGGTGTTACCTACATCTGCAAGTCTCTTGACAAGCTGAGAAACTATAGATCATTGCTGTCCAATGGCTACATAAATACAGTACAGCTTGGTCTTTATGCCCTGGGCACCATTACTATTGTCTACAGCTTTGGTACCAGCCTGCATGGGTATTGGGTTCTTTCACTCTATATTCAGAGAATACCAGGGGCTTCAATGCCCACTCTGCCTACCTGAAAATCAAAGTGTGAAGAGCATTTAGTACTCAGTCAGTTCTTATATATGTTATGCATGAGAATAGTACTTTTACACCTGCAAAAGAGCATTCAATATTTAAATTGACATTAATATCAAATGCTTACTCACCATCCTATTTGGCCAATACAGTTGTGCTCTCTGGCTAATGACAGTTCAATATCCCCATTGAGAAAACAAAATTCCCTTCTCAAAAGTGAATTTGACTGAAAAAAGCTATAAATATTGCCTATACCTTGCAAGATGACAATACAACAATAGTTAACCACTTCTTATTGAATAAGAAGACAGAATCACAGACATTGTCATTAACATGACAAAATATCTGCAATTGATTACAAAAATGTAATAATAAAATTGATTCTGAGAGAAGGTAAAAGCAGAAACCAGAATGCAAAACCTAACTTTATATAGGTATAGGAGGGTATTTATCATTTGTTTGCAGGGTGTTCATTTGGGTGTGATTTTTGAATTACATCCTAAATGGTAAGACTATTCTTCTGTGAGGGAGGTTTTGAAAGGAAATACCTATCAAGATAAAAAACTGATCTGAAGAAGGAAATTGAAAGAACAATGAAGGAGATAAAAGTGGATAGTAAGTCATGTGACTGACCATTTCTACTGCAGAATTCAAGTGTTTATGCAGAGGCAAGGTTGCTACTTGGAACATGTCATATAAACTGTAATGTTAATTGGAACTCTGTGCCTGATCAAACCAAAACTATCAGATATTATCAGACATTAGATTAAGGTAACTTATATGGACCAAATCTGCAGTTTACTTATTAAACACATTGTACCATGTCAAGATAGGAAATGTAGAATTAGAGACTTGTTAGCAATTCGTTGAAAATAATCCAACCACCACATCAATGGGGTTGCATTAAGAATAAATCCAACCACCACATATGTGGGGCTGGATTAAAAATTTACAATTAAAAAGTAAATACAAAAGCAGCTACAGGTGGTCTATATCCGAGGCCTGCCTAACTGCATAAAAAGGGAAAAACAGCTACAGGTGGTCTATATCCGAGGCCTGCCTAACTGCTTGAAAAAGGGAAAAAACAGCTACAGGTGGTCTATATCCGAGGCCTGCCTAACTGCTAAAAGGGGGAAAAGCAGCTACAGGTGGTCTATATCCGAGGCCTGCCTAACTACTTTGAAAGGGGAAAAAGCAGCTACAGGTGGTCTATATCCGAGGCCTGCCTAACTGCTTGTACAAAAATGTTGAAAAGACTGGTGAATACAACTTCCACTATGTGGAGATGGATTGAAATTATAAATTCACTTCAAAACTTCAGATATTATGCTGGATTTTCTTCCATTTAAGGTTAAGACAGTACCCAGGTGCAGTTTTTGAATTGAAAAAAAATATTTAAAATCCACTAAGTAGAGAAAATTCCCTGGTTTTTGATAGTTTTAAAGTAATCTGAGTTGAGGACACTTAACAGTGGCTGAGTTAAGCAGAACTAACAGTGGCTCAGTTAAGGAGAATTAACAGTTGCTAAGGTAAGGAGAATCAACAGTTACTGAGATGAGGAGACTTTACAGTAGCTGAGTTGAGAATTAATAATATACTTCAGAAAGACCTATTAGTTGCACCATGGGCTTTCAAGAGAAGAACAGACATATACTAAACATAATCCAATCACTTATAAGGAGATGGATTAAAATAATGAATATGATCAATATCCAGCCTGCACTTAGTGGAGGTGGATAAGTTAATATGTAAAAATTAAATGCTGAAATATACTGAATTATTATGATAATTGTAATGAATTATACATAATCTTTATGGTCGACATATTCTCAATTCTATACAAATCAAAATGTCATGCTTTTTCTATACATTTCTATTAGTTGCTAAAATCCGAGGACATTTAACTGTTAAAGTGCATTAAAGGATATCATTAAAATCATTTTCATCATCTGATGATGAATCGTCGTCTGTATTGAACCCAAAATCATCTATAGAAAGAATATCATTGAGTTCACTATTTTCATGATCTGTAGAATTTTCGTCATTATTTTGAGGGGATTCATTAATTTTTTCACTGGCTTCCTTTATTTTATTTAGATTGACTGGGTTTTTACAGTTTAAACCACCCTTGCAGAGGCAAGTAGGTCCACATCCACCTGGTCTGTTCTTGCATCCACAGCTCCTTGAACAAAATGGCTCTTTCTTGCAAGAACAACCTTTCAAAAGAAAAATGATATTCTCATCTACTTCTCTCATGTTTTTGTCGGAGTCCCAAATAACAGAAATAACTCCTTCACTAACTGACCAACCCCAATCATCTAAATTAGGATAAACTACTGTTGAGTTTAAACATTGAAACCAAACTTGCGAAACCCAACAAGAACGTTTCCAATGTAACTTAAGCGCATCTACCGTTGGTAGCCATCTTTCCCTAAAATCTCGAACAGAATTTTTTTCTCTTATCGAATCAAGCCAAATAATGTGGTTATCAAAAGGTGCAAAATGTGGTTTACAGAAATAATTAAACAAAGACACAGGGTGTTCATCGAAAATAAACTCATAGAATGAAGATTTGCATCTTGTGAAAAAGAGACATCCAATGAGTCGTAAAAATGAAAGGAATCCGAGTTCAAAATGTTCAACTGAGGTGTCAGACAAGGAGCCCAGATTCAGTTGAATGGAATCTTTACCAGAAATGAATTCACAATATTTAAAGAATGTTTCAAAAACAAAGGATTTTGAAAAACCTTTAAATGAACTAACATAGTCACAACCACTAGATATAAAAACAGTTTGAATCACTTTCCCCAGGGAGGATGATTCCAAGGTTTGAACTGAATAGTCTCTGAAAATGTTTTTATATAAATTATTAACTGAGATGTAAACTTCACTGATTGATTTTGAGCCACCGATATTTATAAAAACGTTCTTTTTCAAAGAAGATATGTGAGGAAGGCCAATCATATAAGAATCTGTGTCTTTAGAGAACATAAGGATGTCAGTTTCTTCACATAAATGAGCATGGAACCAAATCCTTGAGTCTCCTTCATCTATATTAGTTGAAAAAATACCAGCCTTTGATATTGAACCATGGGAACAAGTATAACATTCTGAGGGGTCAGAAAAACAGCCAGCCAAAAATACCGAAATTGGAGATTTTGAATTATCAGCATGCAGTTTTAGAAAAGTTTGACCAAAATAACTAACAAAAAGTTTTTTGTTTTTTCGGTTTTTAATAAAAGTGTCAAAATTACTTGGTAATATATCTGTGTCTCTAATACTTTCTCTTGTTACATCCACAACACCAGAGTCTCTCATTGTACGCTCTAAGGTTTTAGGAGTTAAAATGTCAGTTTCTTGAATGTCAAAGACTAAATGAATGGGAATTTTCATGTCAATTAATTTTGAGTACACTTTATTCAAATATGTAATGAAATTGACATGAAAATCCTTGTAAGGTCTAAAAGAATACAGAAAACTCATCCCATCAATTATATATACAAGAGGGTCAAAAGAAGGTGGGAGAGTGGCATAATAAAATATTGGTTCATCTGATTCTTTGTACCTTTTTTCAAAAAATGACCTTGCGACCGATTTGGAGTTTTTAAAAGGGTTTACACTAAGAATTTTACCTTTTTTGTCACATATCGTTTCACAAATGGATAGGGGATAAGGGGAAATATTTTGAATGTCACCACAAGGCTGTAAAGAAGATTTTGAAACTTCAATTTGTTTTTTCAAACATTTTACCACTTTAGATTGATCATTGAGCTGTTTTTTGAGAGAATGAGAGGACGATTTTTTAATTTCAAATGTTTTTAGAGTATATCTAGTTCTTGGTGGACAATTTTCTGATCTATCCTTTAAAATGTGACATTTTATGAATGACTCATAAAGTTCATCTGACTTTTTATGAAAATTTAAAAGTGAGCTATTTTGGCCAACATCTGCTTCATGTTTTGAAAAGATGTGAGACAAGGGTGAAATAATAGAATCACTTTGATCCATCATATAAAGTTGAGAGTCAGTTTTAATTTTTGAAAGAATTGCTTGAATATTACATTCTTGTAATGTTTTAAATGATATTTCTTGTTCATTATAAATATTGTTTGTTTCATCAGAGCGAGGAATTTGAGACAAAATGTTTTTATGGACAAGAGACCGAAAATGCATATATTTAAGATTTTGAACTGTATTTTCCATTGAGAGACCTATTACTCTTTTTATATCTTTGTTTATGCAAGATTCGTGTGCTTCATCAAAAGCTAAATGATTAAAAAATGCCCCTGAAATACTCACTGAACAACTGCTTCTAAAATGATCAATAATACAAGGGGGAAATTTTTGCAAGTCTGAAAGGTGTAATGGAATAAGCTTATAATAAAATGTTGAATTGGTAACATGGAAATAAGGTGCCATTCGTTTCAAGAAATAATTCCTCGAATCAAAATTACTGCTTCTTATTGCAAAGTAAAACCCAATGTAAATAAATACATCTTGAAAGATAAAACGAGTCCAGAAAGTCCAATTCTCATCACATTTACACATTTCATCACAAAAAGTATAAAAATCCTCTTCAATTCCTGATAATTTTCCAAATAAAGAGATGAAGTCTGGAATATAATTCTCATCATTGCAATTTAAGGATAAAGACTGTAAAACAAAGTTTTTGATATTTTCAGAACTTAGTTTGCATTTTGCTGAATCACATGATCGATGTTTTAAAAATAGTTCAATTAGTAATCTGAATAAAGCCTCCCAAACCTGCATGATGAAATCATGTGTTTTTGAAAAACTTAAAGCCTTTGTTACTACAATTGATGAGTTGCCTTTATGAAATAAATTAACCAAATCAGATAAGCCTGCACTTGAATAAATTTTCATGAGACAAGAACCGAAATTTTTTAAAGTGTGCCAATCTCCAGGCCAAGGAAGAGCAAAATCAAATTCTTTGCCATATTTAATTTTTATTCGTACTAAATGATCATATGTCTTACCATCGCCTACTATAACTAAATATTTTTGCCTAATACCTATTTGAAATGTTTCATTATAAAGTTCCAAAATGTATTTTATTGTTTCTTCCTTGTCTGCATTTTTGTCTAAAACGGAAAGGTATAATATTTTGCTTATGTCTGTTAACTTTGGAGAAAATTTTGCAAGAAAAGGCTTAAGAACATCTGGAGATTTTTCAATGACGCCCTCACCAGATGCTTGATCAAAGTATGAAAATTTGGTTAAACAGTATCTGAAAAAATGAGTACGGTACATATTTCCAACTTCTTTTTCAACAGGTGTTGGGAAAAACCCATCTAAATGGACAGAATTTGAAACTAAGGAATGATCAAGTTTTTCGCGATGAGAATCAATAATGGTGTTAGAAACCGACGGTGTTAACTCAAAAGAAGTTCTTCTCGGTTCTTGTAAATTATCATGTAATGGCGATTCAATGCTAAAAAGTTGTCCAAGATCAATATTAGGTTTGAATTTATCTAATGGTTCATATGTACGATTATCAAGAAATTCTACATTTAAGTATGAATTACCTGAATGTAAACTACCAAAATCTACTAGAGGAGAAAATGTAATATCTTTGCTACTTTCAGTCAAAAGTAAATTCAACTGAGGATTTTTTTTCAGTTGATTTGGCATAATAGATTTCTTTTTCACTAAAATAAATTCACTACTTCTTTCATAAATATTGATTGGCATTCCGGTAAGGTAAATAATAGCCAACAAATGCTTCACAAATGGAAACAATTCAGGGTTAATTTGGTCAAAATAGGAGGATTCTTTGGAAACAAACGATTGGACTGTAGTATAAATTAAACTTGTGATGTTATTTTCTAAAATTTTCAAATTTCCTTGTATGGGGTCACCATTCTCAAATCTTTCACATTTAAGTAAAGAATCTAATAACAAAACAGTTATAGATTTAAACAGAGTCAAGTTATCTTTTCCTAAAATATCAATAATTTTGAAAAATTCTCCATGTGTTGTGAAAATACATTTTTGTGAAAAAGCTGTTTTTTCCTCAGAACTCAGTAGAATTTTAAATGGCTTGGGAATGCCTAACTGAACAGTAGTAAATTCATTCCTTTTTGAGGTTTTGTCTGCTTTAACACGACAGTACTTTTTATCTTTACCTACATTATCGACACTTATGAAATAAGCAGAATCGCCACAAAGCTCAGGTCCTTCTTCATCAATTCTCTGAGCAACATGAGACTGAAAGCGTTTAAAAGTTGTTTTGCTTGTAGCTATACCAAATGAATTAAAGATAGAATGACATTGAGATGAATCTTCAGTAAATTTACTCACAAAATCAGATAAAATCATTGGTAATGGGTTTTTACACTGTTGATTTGATGCAAACAGAATTGAACTAAATGTGCCAAAAAGTTGTAAATCTTTTCTAACTAGATACGGTCCAGAAGAAGGAGCTAAACTTTGTAGCATTAGAAAATTATCATTTAAAGAATTTTGGCTACAGCCATTAATGATCATAAATATAAAATTCCACAAAACAGTATCAAAGTTTTCTTGGGCAAATTGAATTAAGTTTATGGTTTCTAAATTAATCTGTCCAGATTTTTGCAGCAGAAGAATTTTTTTAACTTGTTCTTTAATTCTATTGTGTAATATTTTGGCAGATTCAAAAAGAGGATCACTTTTTTCGACAGGAGTCGTGCAATTCTTAGAAAAATACATATCTGATAAAGAAACATGTAGTGTATTTAACGGGTCAAAACCAAGTCTATATAAAAGTGCACCAGACCTTCTTGATGATAAATTAGATTTCACAATTAAAATCTTACCAAATTTTGCCTTAAGAGAATTCAATAATTGAGAACGGTTAAGAGAGACTTGAACTGAATCAGTACAATGAATTGATAAGAGGTCAGAATAATAAGAAAAGACTTCAATGAATAATATTGCATGTTCTTTAAGTAAACGTTTTGAAATATATGAAAAGGTTTTTCCAAGACAGAAATCTAGCACTTTATTCTCAGTGGGGGTTTCATCTTTAAATTCCTCAATTATAGTATATAAAAATTTATCAGAGATTGAATAAATATTAGAAATATTGTAAAAATCAAGTGTATAATCAACTAAATTCTTGTAACAATTCTTGCATAGTAAGTTCTGAAAATTATCTTCATCAATAGAAACATCTAACCCCTTATGAGAAATAAATTGTTTCAAAATATAGTAGTATGGATTGAAATACTTATTAGTCTTATTCAAATAACAAGAACATAGTTTACACATCTCTGAACTTACAAATGTATAAAGAGCGTTGTAGTGTTTTTTGCATATACTTAAGTTGCTAACATCTAAATCAATAGAAGAATTGAAACTAATTTCTGCATTTGATAAATATGAGTATATATCCTCAGGAGAAAATTTTTTGACACTAGTAAGGTTTTCTTTTGCAGAGCAAATATCAAACTTATGAAATAAACATATCGATGAATTAAACTTAGTTTTCTTTGACAATGATGAATCACAAACTTTTGGCTCACATGCACGACAGATACAAGATGATATAGTTAAAAATGGATATCTTAAAAGTGCGCTTTGAATCTGATCATCAGTTTTATTATATAAATGAAATGACCTAAAAAGTGTTTTTGAACAAATTGCACATATTGGATCACAATTTTTACCATGACCTGGAATTTTGTTTTTTGGAGTTTTAGATTTCGGTAAATTACATGAATTAGAAGGACACAACTGGTCAGATTTATTTGTAGCGGCCCTTGGTCCAATATTTCACTATATTGCCCGCAGAAATGACGTTATTGTACTATTATGAAGATGGTGACATAAACAGCTGAATATGATTTGTAATAATGGTAAATAATATATGTCTAATGTCACTCATGACATCATCAATTAATTTGGAGTTGTTTTCTTCCGTCGCCTGTTCGTTGTTACTAATTTCTTCATTTGCCTCTTCATTACAATCATTTTCACTTTCATTGGCTTTCGCTATTTTTTCCTTGCCCTATAGAGGCTCAAGCAAGAGCGTCTCTTGCGAGTCCTGAAAACAAATATAGGCAGTTCACACATAGAGAGCTATCCATCTAGGGACCTTGAGTTGACAGGAACTTGCATGTAACCGTCCGCTAACATCTAATGTAAAACTAATACAATGCGTTGCTGTCCATAAAAAAGCATGCAATACATACGTATCTGTCTAACGACCTTGCGATTGAAACCTTATTATCTACAATATTTACCACATTTCTGTTCTGCATTTGTCATTTTATGGCTTGTTTATACACAGTTTACGTACAGTTAGTATTTTGAGTGGCTCTGAGGCACATATACTGAGAAAACACGAAAAATGACTAAAAATTATGAACTTCGAAATCTCAGCTGGGTAGGTTTACAGCTTATATTCTGCTTCTTGTAGACCACACGACAGATTTAACTCAATCTTTATAACCATTCACATATGCATCACCGAATGGAACTAGTTGAAAAGGAAAGCTTAACTGTGAATCTTGCCTACAGGCGAAAAAGAGGACATGCTGTCTTTCCCGTCCGCCATTTTTTGTTATCGTTACCGCAGAATTTGGCCAATTGCCTTGTCGTATCTGTCATGCTATAACACCGTGATGTAATATAGGCTGAGATTCAATCACTGATTACGATCGACGACTACATGACCCGCTACATCGGACTTGCATTTTCATCGCGAAATCAGTTTTAAATCTATTGCATGATTTAATTTATATTAATGACTCTTACATTCCCTACGTACATTTAATTGCATAATATATTGTAACTCTAAAGAAACGATCGATCAGATTTACTCGAGTCTCTAGCCAATACTTGGCTAGAG